AAAAATGGTGGCCTCTCAAGAGCTCAATTTTGCTCTAACTTCAAGAAAGTGAAACTGCATGTCATCCAGGAAAATCTTACAACAGCAGGTCATATTCAGTTGGTATTAAAAAAGAACAATGTGCTGTTCATTTCTGTTGAGGACACTATGGATGTCATAATGTCACAAAAGCTTGGAAAAAACACTTCATCTTTATGGGCTAATTGATGCATGTGTCCTCGCAGTCACAGGAAACTTCACACATCACAGGAAACTTTGCAGGCTCGTAGCATAAACGTTTTCAGGCTGTTAAAACATTTGATGTTATGACAGGAAGCAGGCACTTAAAAACCACAGGCCTAACTCTCTGTGTTTTGTGGACCACTGGAATGAAATGGACGTTGATTCCTTATTTACCCGAGCAAAGCATATGATCTCAGAGCAGTATTAACATCCTTACTCTCGGATACTTGAGCAAAGCTGCTTTACTGACTTCCATTTGATGGGCTTCCACAAGTAAAACAATATTGCTTAGATGTGAAAAGGGATAACGCGCAGCTGGAAGGGTTACTTTTTCCATGACCCGCTGAAACGGCTGTGATAGCATGATAGCTTGCGTATATTCTCGATAATCAAAAATAGGTCTGATGCTTCAAATTAGTAATCAAGGTAAGTAGAGATAAACTCCAAAAGATTGACAGCAATATAATCTCATCATAAGAATACCTTCAGAACATCCCAATATGAAAGTTATGATGCACTAAGTTTTAAAGCTTGCCCAACTACATCACAACCTTAGCCTATAGTTCAGTGGGTTAAAAGCATCCTGAAAGGGCTCAAATGTCTCTTCTTTCTTCACTAGAGTTTCCATCATGCTGGGTTTATTTAGCTTAGACTGCATGAAGTCAAAGGAGACTTGAAAAAAAATGTAGAGTCCTGTGGGGAACATTCCTTGACACTCCATCACAACTGTATGTTTTTCCTATTATGTGGTTAAAATATCATTCCACAAATGATCTGGCAAAAGAAAAACTGCCTTTGAGGGAAATCCTGTAACTCTGCTTTTCCATCCATTATTTTTGGGCCCTGCAGAGACAACAGTCGGATATGTATTGGAAGCACTGATGGCCTGTATGTGGTGGATCTTGCTTCCTCAGAACTCCTAACAGCAATATACTTCAAAGGTAGGCCAAACTTGATATGTCCTCTGTGACTGCTCCTGTAGGGCAGTGATATGCTTAACCATTTTTGCACAAGAATAAACCCATCACTTCATTTTGAGTACAAAAAACACCCACTGTGATTGAAATCTTAAGGGAATAAGCCACTTTGAATGCATATCCCATTTACTTGCACCTAGGCTAAGAATGTGTCTTTCAGGAGAAGGAGATACTTTGTTCGACTTTGTCGGTCTGAAATACTTCATAGAGATAAGAACCGAGTCATCTTTGGGCTGCATACCTGGAGGTAGTTCAGTCCATCAAATAGCTGCACTCGGTCATTACACAAAGAGAGAGGTGGGGGAGGAGGGAAAGCGGTGCGCTGAGGATCTGGATTGAAAGTTGCCAATATACCTTTAAATAAAGTTTTGGTTAATCAGCGTGATGTCATCAGGTGAACAGCAAATTAAAACTTGGTGTAATCGGCATAGCTATTAAAAGAGATGTCTCCAGATGACACAGCCCAGTGACAGCACAAATAAAAAAGAAATGGTCCTAAGACTGATCCTTGTAGTACCCCACAGGTAACCTCATAGTTGGGTTGAATGACCAACTTTAAACACATACATTTTTTTTCCAATTCCAGGAGTTTAGAAGATTCTAGTTGTCAACTGTATAAACTGCAGTTTGTTGAGTTATGGGAGGAACCATTCTGGGTAGCTTAGCTTTGATGAAAATTGCATGCCACTCTGTCACCCATACATGTGAATGTACACAAAACAGTATTATGTTAACTCTTTTAATTTCAGTTTTTCTGTGTATACTAAAACTTAGGCAAATCCACAAGTCTTGTTCATTCTTCTAGATTTTACCAACTTGAGCATCACAATGGCGGGTTCATGGACAATCTCTCGAGAGTCGGATAACTCTGTGAGTAATTTAATGAAATGTTGATAATTCATAATAACCAACAGCTTTGAAATGTCCTTTTAACTAGACTCATGTCATTCAGTATGAACTAAGGATACTTAGAAAGTATCACTAATCAGATATCTGTTTGAGTAATCACTGAGTACCAGTAAGACACCTTGCTAAAGATTCTGCCAAACTACTGAAATAACCTGTTAGGTTGCTCGTCTCCATTATGCTTGACTTTTTTCCTAGGTTAAAGATTTATCTAGCGTGGGTCAATAAATGGGGTTTACTTAATCAAATACAAATGTAGGGCTTTGGGTATATTAACCCAGTGGCCCAGGCTTGGTAAATAATCAACCCAGTGATATTTAGCATGTAAGTATACGTAAATATATATAATTTCTTCAAAACAGTCATGGGTTCATACCGTTTTATTTTTTTTTTTACAGATGTTTTTGTTAGTGAGCTCTTTGTTTACTCCAAGTGTAGTCCTGTTGGAGTTAATTCTGTGTGACCACCAGGGGACCCCGCCATGTGGGAATGGCTTTTCAGTGTTTTCAAGGTAAACATGGAGTCTATGGCAAATATCTTGTGTCGCTTCACCAGATATGAGGGACGTAACCAAGCGAGGAACGTGCTCTGTAAAAGTATATTGTAATGACATTCAGTGTGACTTTTCAGTAACAATAGTACACTCAGGAAACTGTCTAAAGACACTGGCATTAGAAAGAGCTGCTTTCTGTTGCTAATGTCGATATAAAGTTATAGTCTGGAACATCTTTGCTAAGTGAATGACTACACTGTGGAACTTTTTTATGAGTTGAGCTTTTCAGTCCACATGAGTTTGAATAAAATCGTCAGGACTCGATTAACACCCTGGTCCAGAAATTCTGCTTACTACTTTCACAATAACTTTGCTCAAAAAATGCCAAAAAGTTGAAATTGTCCTCTGGAGAAGTCATAAAAGTCATTCAGGTATTACTGGTACCTTCTTAGAATTATCAATTTAGCAAAGTCCAGCAGCACCAATAAATAATGATGATAATTTCATTAATGTTATGTGTGTTTTTACTAGAACATTTGTTATTTATGAGCTGAAGCATGATTACGTTTGTGGAAATGAGATGCCCAAAAGTTGTATACTTGTTGCTTTATCATACAGGATAAGTGAGTGGGGTCTTTTTTTATTTAGTTGGTCCTGTCTGTTGCTCATTCTAATTCTGACCTTTCCATATTAACCTGGCCCATTATAACTACCGTATTCCTGCCATCTGGAATTTCATGAGTCAATGGCATCATGGTACTGAGAATAAGAGGGACTAATAATCCACAACTGTGGAAAAATGCTGAGCTCCTTCATTTCCAGTAACTCTTTTCCCCCCATCTCACCCCTCCTGTGTTTGCAGTTCTCCTCCACTGCCAGAGTCTCCTCTGAATGCCGAGTTAAAGAAGAGGGAGGCCATGAATCCAAAAAAGAAAGGTCAGCATCATCCCTGTTATTCTGAAAAACTCACAAACCTTTCAATAATGCTCCTGCGAATAAAATAAAAAAGGGAGCTTCTGCCTGTTGATGACTTTGGCTTCAAAAATGACCCATTTTTAAGTTTGCTCCATGACGTGATCATTGTCTGTTTTGCTTGGACACAGAGGATTTATTCATAATGTGGTTATCGTAGGTTTAAATTCATTATGTTTGGCTATAATAAGGAGCTACTGAGAGCCTCCTCATTATCAGTAAATATAGAGGAGAGGGAAGATTTTCTTTTTTTTATTGTGAGGAGTGCTGATGTGGCATTAATTAAATTCCCTTCAGCTTTCATTTGACACATAGGTACTTCATATCATGCAGCAAGAACAAAAAGTTTGGACAGACAGTTTTCTCACTTTTTGGCCCATTTGGTTGTGCGGTGTCTTCTTGCAGTCGTGGATTTCTTTGTAAAATGAGCCTTTTTTGCGGTACTTTGGCATATCATTAGGATCTGGCAGATTGAAACTATTCTGCTCGAGACCTACAGTACAGCATACTGTGGTTTACATGTTATCCTTATGGAGAGCTTTATACAGAGAAAGCCACTATGAGGCAGACTCCACACAGCTGGAGTGAGGAGAGCTGCCAGTGCCAGACTAAGTAGGGGATTCTTCAGGGGAGTCTAGAGGTACTGCGTGACTGCGTTGTCAGACCAAAAACCACAAACATTTACGGACCAGTGAAACTCGCCATGCTGCCCCCCAGCATCCCTGTATTCTTGAGGATATCTGCAGAATTATATACAAATTACACCATAAACCTCTGAGACTCCTGGAACAGAAAACGTTCTTCCATTGTAAATCTGGCACATGTCTGACAGGGCTCTTTTAAGAGAACTGTGAGTGCAGATTAGATATCTATTGCCTGTCACACTTCTATGTAACATAATCATGAAGTAAACCAGGCCCGTTGGCTTTCTGAGGTGATGAAATTCAGCTGCATTTTACATGATGTCACGTCTCTGAAGCATGGCTGCCTGGATTAAGTTGTTTTATAGTATGGACATCAGGGGGCTACTAAGGCGGCAATTAGCATTGTATAGCCCTCAAATGCTTTCTCATTACTCACTTTGAATGACTTTCAGTTATCCATAGAGATCCGTTAAACCAGTAAACAAAAAAATACAGATGAAAGTGTTACATAAGTTATTAAGAGTTCCTCTTTATCAGGAATATTTAACTTTTATTCAAAAAGCTGCCCAAGTCTCCAAAGATGTCATCAACGGCTAATAAAATGGAGGAACAGACTTCAAATTCTGGATGCTCATAATAATTACAATAACTTTATTTGAATACCTCTTTTGAAAACAAGGGCTTAAAAAGTGTTTTGACACACAGGAGGAGGAGCATACATGTGAACAAAGCATAAGAACCCAACACAAAACAACCCAAAGGACAACAACAAACCTCCAACACATAAGAACGTAGATACAAAAATCCAACTAACATAATTTACCCAACATCATAAGAGCTTCATAGATTGAGACCAAAGGGAGAAAGGATGTAAGACGATGTAAGCAATTAAAAGAGCTAGAAACAAACATAATAAAAGGAGTTAAAGCAAAAACAACGATAAGACAAATAAAAAGGGATAGAAATAGGGGTTGGACAAAATATCGTTGTCCTGACTACTGCATTGAAATAATTGATCAGCTGGCCAAAAATATATATTCTTTCTTTTTCATATGGTGCTCTAAACAGATACCTCTGCCAATTTGAGCGTGTCATTTCTTCATGACAGGAATGAAGGTAATGAAGAAGTCAGGCTAAATTCGACAGCAGTGAAAAGAAGTTAAGAGATTAAATAAAAACTATTGAATAAATAAAACTAATGGAGGTGATAAAAGGCAATAAAATTACTGTCAGGCTTCTGTTTTAACGTATGCTTTGTTAATTTAAGGTCAGTGAATGTAGTTCACAGCCCGCTCTCCATTTGACACTCACAAAGTGGTGTATGTTTTTTTCACATACCTACAGGTAGTATTACATTTGTTTCCCTCTTTTATTCCTGTAGTATGCTCGACACATGGTACACGTGTTCAACATATTCTTTAGGTTTCTACATGATTTCTTTTGCTGTCAGACCAAAAGTTTGGCTCCGGATCCACAATTCCTTCAGTCTTAAGTTGAGCGTGCCTCTGAACTCTTTCTTCTCCTACTGAGTGTCCTACTTTCCACAGTTCAATAAGGCAATAACTCATACCAGAGAGTCTGGTTACAGTCAGAATAATATCTCAGACACATATATACTCTACCTGCTATGGTTGGTACATTTTTAGAAGCTTGAATTATAAAATCTTTTTCTGGGCAACATTCAACAACTCAGAGGGAGGTCTGAGTTTTACCATCTCCTCTTCGCTGTCTAAGAGAAAGACTCAGTGGTTTATTTTAGAATAGACTCCAAGGCTTGTCTGAGCCTGGGTCCTTCTAGTGCAGGCAGCCAAAGCCGTAAAACAAATCATTGTCACTTCTTAAAAAAACGAAAAAGGGATTTATGTTTTAAAGCTTGTTAACCCATCTATCCAGCTTTATTTAGTTCTACAGCTGCAGACCTGAACACAGTGGATTAGTGTTGTCACGATACCAGAATTTTAAACTTTGATATGATACTAGTTCAAATCAAACCATATTCCTGTTTCGATACCACAGCAACCAAAATAGAAGTCCTAGTCACCCTAATATTTGACGATTTTTTTTTGTTTTCAACTCTCAAAAGTTGCAAGCAAAATCCTGCACACTGTCTAAAATGCACAAAGGTGTTGGCAACGTTTAAACATTACTAAATTTATTGATGCATTTTTTCGACAGGTTGCAGGATTTTGTTTGCAAATTCGAAGCATCTTGAAACCATTTAAACTGAGTCAGAATTGAAGAAGCCTTTCTCTGACTCAGGACTCAGAACTGAAGAAGCCTATCAGAGGAGAGGTGAAACTTCTTCAAGATCTTTAACCAGTCCATTTGCCTTTGGATCAAGCTTAGCATTTAACATGACCTAGATGACTGAGAACCTACACACCGATTTTGCTAGCAATTTTTGATGGATTCAATCCACTCCTTACACATATTTCTAATGAAATAGATGTGTTACTTTTTGATGCTTCTGATCATTAAAATAACAAAGATTTTATCATTTTAAAACACGTGGTATTGCAAAGTACCCAAGTACATTTTGACATCCTTACAGCAGCTAGCGGACCTCGTGTTCTCTGTTACTGCAGGCAAAACTGCACTTAATACTTAGAATTTGTTGCTCTTCTAGTTGTTGCATCAGAAACAAAATTATGTTTTGAGTTAGACTAAATAGCTTTACTGTGTAGTTTAGTTGTATTAAAGTTAGTTGCAGATTAAGTTAAATCTGACATAATGAGAGCTGTAAACAGAGCACACAGTGAAACGCTGTGATTTGATTAAGATATGACACGATTTGGAAATTTGTCCGAGACTCTCACTTTGTTTCAAATAGCGTCTGGTCTTAAGTCAGCGTAAATTAGAAGGTTTAACTGCTCTGTAAAACTTAATGACTATTATATACCAGCGAGGGGTAAATAGGGCTGCTGAGCAAAGCCAAATGATTGTGTAGCCAGGTAATTAGATTTTAAGCCCACATTGCAGAGTTTCCTGTGGATAATCTGTTCTGGGTCAAAATCAAAAAGCTACAAACACAACAGCAACCAGTGTTACAATACCATTATTTTTCAAGTAGAAAATAAGCAGTAGTATATTTATTCAACTTTTTAACGCTATCTTTACTGATTGATGAAGTCCTATAATTTCAGTCAGACAACTAATGTTTGTATCTGTGTCAAATATTTATTGCAGCAGAACATAGTTTGTGTTTGGCGTCTAGGCTTCGACCTCATCACTCCTCGCTGTTTTTATTTACATGCAAGCATTTGAGAAGTGATGGGATAATATCTTAAACACCCCCAGTCGGAGCCTATAGGTGGATGCTGGGGCTGAGCAAGCGTGCAGGACTGGTGCAGGTCAGAGCTGGCAATGAAAGAGCAGAGGGAGAGACCAGACATTTTGCAGGCCACTAATCTTGCGGAGGTGTTGTCAGGTTATTGTGGATAATGATACATGTCGAGTGTGAAATCAGTCTAGCTTGAGTTGACTGCCTGAACAAGCTCGAAGGCGTCGCCTCATTTTTGTAGAAGCAAAACTGTACATACACCATCAGACAGAGTATCCTTTGAGGCAGTGCAGATATAGAAACAACATGTACTTTATGAAATTTGAGTTTCAATTCCAAAATCCAACAAAAGGGAACAAAATAATTGTTCAGATGTAGTCAAGTGAAATATGCAGGAAAAACCTGTCAAGCCAATCCTGGAGTGAACATTTGCACTGCTGATCAAAGATGAAAAGCACTCCTTGATAAGAGAGGATTGAAAAGAGATCCAGATGTGTTTCCCTTTGATTCAGACTGTTATGTGTCACTAGTGATGAATGTACTCTCGTGTTGGGACGGTGCCCTAACTGAGATGTGCAAGAGCCTAAGATAATAACTAGTACTCAAATGATACGTGAGGAACTTGTAGACAGGTGAGCCAGTTGAGCAGCACGGGGTTTGTGAGGTTAATGATTGTGAGCATACTAACAATAATTATGTGGTATGTTTATTGCTAGCTTGTAAGAAACAAGCGGCAACCTCTGATGTTGGAAAATGAAGCCAATGCAACACCGCTACTGTAGAGTGGCTACAAAAGCCCCTTTAACACCCAGTGAAGTATGTGACTGTCCATTTTCACAGCTGGTTTAAATGTTTACAGCCTGGTACAAAAAATGATTTCTGTCTGAATGTCTCATTTCTTTATTCATTCACACTGTATGGAAACTGGATGATTTAATGACTCATTAGTTTTGATTATATTAAAGCTAAGAGATATGCATATATTTGCATGATTAGGGGACTGTTTGGTTGTGTGGTTTGATTTGACTGACAGGTGGGCGTGTTGTAGCAGTTTGCAAGGAGGCTTAAGACCCGCCTACTAAATGGATAGAATTCAGGTGGAGGTAGCACTTCAAGTATGGGGATTACCCTCGTTCTGAACCTTTATTCTAGGTGACGTCCATGTTTCATACAGTCTATGGCAAGAAGATAAATGTTTTTGTTGATGTAAAATTGTTGCACAGAGGAATACTTCTGGTTATTGACTGACTTTAGAGATTCTGTCGGCAGGTCTCTTTTTTTTTTTTAAATCTTTGAATTAATCAGCACATCAATCCGTCTGCAAACTGCAATACCTCACGAGAGAGATGGAAAGTAGAACCGTCTGAGAAGAACTTGAAAAGTCTTACTGACGAGCTAAAACTCACAGGTGATCCGTCTTGGTCAATATTAGATAAGCTCTGGAGAAATAACATCTTACAAGTTAAACTCCTCTTACTTTAATGAAGGGTGTAAACCAAGCCTGGATTTTTTTTTTTATGCATCTCAGGTCTCAAGTTGCCACTCAGAGATTTGGTTACTTTTTCTCACTGGGCCTGAATTTGACAGGAGAATCGTTTTTGGAAGAACTCAAACTTTTTAATGGTTGTGGAAAAAGTGAGCTCATTCTTAAAAAGTAAAAGGCCCTGACAGCAAACAGGGAGTATAATGAACCATTCCACCGTTTGTGGCTGATGCAACTAATTCTCACAATCCCTAATAATATTGTATCTTTCTTTCTTTGCATATCTTTAAAAGTTTCCCTCAGTATCATGAGTTCTATGTAATCCCAAAAAATGGACAGAGGTCTTCTCTCTTGTAAATATTTGATGTCTACTCATTTGTAAATGGTTTGTTTTTAGTATCCTTTGTCTTTGCTTTTGCCAGACTGTAACTTACTGTAGATCATTTAAACTAATGCAGATTCCTGTGACAGCCTATTACAAATGATTTATCTTTTTACATCTTTTTACAAAAGGAGGCATAAAGGAGCAGCCCCTGGTTTTCCACTCCAAAGTGAGGTCATCTGGATATACCAGCACCCCAAGGTAGGTTCACAAACTTCAGCCTTATAGAAAATCAAATTACTATTTATTTTATTCTCCCCAAATCTGATGAGAGGAGGAGAAATTCAACTTTGAAACGTTTTGAGTTTGTCAAGAATAACAATACTATTATGTTTTTTTTGTCTCTGATCCTTCTGGGGATTTTCAGGCACCAAAAGATTTACTTTGCATTTAAGTGCTTCTTAAATGAATGCAATGAAAAGAACTAAACAGGTTACTCTTTTTGCACAGCAACTAACTAGCACAACCTCATGCCTTCATACCTTCTTCAAGTTTTGACCTACATAAATGAGGAAACAGTTGTTTGGCTATGAAGCTAACCTTTAGTTTGGTCTGCTGTCAAATGTGAGGTCAACTCTTTCAACTTGCCATGTTTTGCACCAAATTGCATCCTATTTCTCTCCTTGATGTTCTGGTTATTTTTTAAAGGTCACATATTCTGCAAAATACACTTCACCATGTTTCTCTAACACTAATATGTGTCCCTAGTCCTTCTCAAAACCCCCAATGATAAGAAAAGCCTGTCCTCTCCGTCGTTTGCCTGCTCCACTTTTCAGAAAATGTGTGCTCAAACAGGAGGTTTTCCCTTTGTGACATCACAAAGGGCAGTAACCCCTCCCCCAGGTGGGTGACTCTCCCACAGCTAGGTGTTTATTCTGCCCTCTGAGTCTGCCTTCTCACCATAAACAATAGGACATGGAATGAGAAAGCCTGAGCCCACCCAAGCCCTTCCAGAGAGGGGGCGTGGTCAGACACAGCTCATTTACATATTTAAAGGTACAGACACAGAAACAGTCTGTTCTGAGCAGGGCTGAAATAGAGGGATTTATACACATGATCAAATACAGGATCAGAGTGGATTTTTAATAAGAAGCTTCACAGACATGTTTTGGAGAGCTCTGAGACTTATTTAAACTGGTTGAAAAGGAGGATAATGTGTGACCTTTAAAGGACTTACATATACTGTTTGTGTTATATTTCACTTACACTGCTGTGAGCTGGGAGAATCACATTTTTTTATTAATATGTATGCAGACACATAAGGAAAATTAAAAATAAATCAAATCTTGAGTCTTAAGGGAGCCTTCATGTTACAATGTCACATTTTCATTTAATTATCCATGCAAATTTTCCAAGATTATTCCTACAACTTGTTCATTCAGGTTTACTTGGTTTGTAGATTTGATTCTTGCAACGTCTTCTTGGTGAACATCAAACCTCCAGTCGTTATTCTTCATGGGGCTTCAGGAAAGTAGCTGGGAGAATCAATATACCCTAAAGTTAAACGTGCAAAGCTGAACAGCTTTTCTTGATCCTAAATGTGAAAAATAATCTTTGAAATGTTAATAAATACAAGAAACATCACGGTTATTCTTTTGTTGCTTTTCAGAAGGAAAATGTTTTCACCTAAAACAAATGTTCAGAAGAATTCTTTCTCTAAAAAGGCTCACAAAAAGACGTAAGTAGTCGCGAAAATTTAGTACAGAATGATTTAAATGCTAGAGTTTATATTATACTAACCTTTTTTTTGTGTTATTTAGTGGTTTCCTTCTCAGAGATTATCCAGCAGACAGTGCAGCACCTTCTGTTCCACACAGTCATCAACGCACTGGCAACAAACCAGTCAACTGCCTCCAGTATTCAGGTGAGATCATTCCAGTAAAATACCATAAAAAAACACAATTAAACTTGTATGGTGGTGTGAATCAGAGGAGTGTTCTCAATGAAACTGCAACATAAATGCTTTAAGGTGGCATTGTAAATGTGAAAGAACAGTTAAAGACTAAAGATGAAACACATCAGCAGTGATCATTTATACAGTTTAAAGGTCACATATTCTCCTCCTTTACAACCAGTTTAAATAAGTCTCAGAGCTCCTCAAAACATGTCTGTGAAGTTTCTTGTTGTAAATCCACTCTGATCCTGTAGTTGATCATGCCTATAAACCCCTCTATTTCAGCCCTGCTCAGAACAGGCTGTTTCTGTGTCTGTACCTTTAAATGTAAATGAGCTGTGTCTGACTACGCCCCTTCTCTAGAAGGGCTTGGGTGTCTCGGGCTTTCTCACTCCATGTCCTATTGTTTACTGTGAGAAGGCAGACTGAGAGGGCAGAACAAACACCCAGCTGTGGGAGTGTCACCCACCTGGGGGAGGGGCTACTGCCCTTTGTGATGTCATGAAGGGAAAATCTCCAAACGGCCTGTTTGAGCACACATTTTCTGAAAAGTGGAGAAGGGAAAAGACAGAGAGGATTGACTTTACTCCTAATTGGGAGATTTGTAGACAGACTAGAGACACATATTAGTGTTAGAAAAACATGGTGAGGTGTATTTTGCAGAATATGTGACCTTTAACAAACAGAAAAAAAGAGCAAGTTGTTTTTGGTGAATGAAGCTAAAACAATAAAGTATGAAGAGGGATTGGCAGGAAATCATGAACTGTTCATGTTTTAAGTACGAAGATGTATTGTTTGATTGTTTTAGACCAACCTCTTGGCCTCTCTGCTGTTTAAAAAACTCTTCCATATTTCGGGTAATTATGAATCAGCTTGACTTAAAATCCCATGAAAGGATTCTTTGTTTCCTTGTCTCTCCCAGGTGACGGAAAACAGATCCTGTGTGGTCTTGGCGACAGCTCTGTGTTATTGTACAAGTCCTCCCTCACTGGCAATCCCACTGTCTACACAGGTGGGTGAAGTAGACATGAGCACCCATAGCATGAAAACCTCTGCAGCCTTCTGATGCCTCAGAGGTTTCAACAGCACTGCATTTTAAAGTGTGTTATGTTTTTGTTAAGAGATAAAGTTAATTTTATGATTATTGGCTAATTTCAAATCATAACCAATTTTTCAAGGCGTTTAAGGTCAAGATTTTACCTCGAATGTTTTACGAGACAAGTTCATCCTCAGCTTGAATTTACTTCTTCCATATTTAGACAACTCTGATTAACAGTCTTGAAATGGATCCATGGCTAGAGATGAAAGACCTCCTGGAATATTCAAATATTTAACTCACTCAGCTGTCGCTCATATAGAAGATAAGAAGTTTTTCCGACCTGATTTTATTTTGCGTTTATTCCAAAGCAATAATTTGGTACGTCCTGTCTGTTTTTGTACAACAGTTAATCCTAGGTCAGGTAGAAAACAAAGACGAGAAGTTATTTTGAAAACAACAATTTGACCTTATTCTGACCAATCTGCACATTAAGAAGATAAAGTATTTGTGGGAGCAGTCTACTCTGTCTATCAGAAAGCCATCCTGTGCAGAATCTAGATCAGTGATTGGCAAAAAAAAGTTGAGCATCTGTTGCAGGGGGAACACAGTTTCCAGGAGGGGGCAGCAGAGATAGAAGGACAGAAGTAGAGGTGACCAGTAGGTCATGCAGAGCCTCCTCTCCGCTCTCTGACTGGTTCTCTTTACAAGCCCATTAATGTAAAGTTTGCGGCCACATGCTGTTCTTCCAGGATGAACTTAAAAAAACTCTTCTTTAATGCAGGACATGACAAACCAGTGAGCAGTGTGAGCTGGAGCCTCAACAGACAATGGTGGCTCAGTGGGTCAGAGGACCAATCACTGCGGATCTGGACCCATGGCAGCCCAGAACCTGCCATTATTATGGTAACTTACCTATTGAGGTTGTCAAAATGGTTCAGTACTTATTACTTTTCAATACCACGTTTTAAAGGAATTCAATTTCTGTTATTTAAATGATCGATGGTATCAAAAATACAACAAACAAAGCTCTTCGGTCACACTTCTGACTATAATCTGCCCCAAGTGAAAGAGAAAGAGCAGCGGTGGTCCTTCAAATTCACCTGGGGGGTTCAACTAGATTAGGAGGGGTAATTGAGATGGATTAGGAGGGGTAATTTAGATGGATTATGAGGGGGTAATTGAGATGGAATACTTAAAAAGGAATATCCTACAGTTTATTTGGGGACAACTGAAGACACTGTCTAAACTTCACAATTCTTTGTTGCTGTGGTATCAATATATTGATTTTTACTAGTATCATGAAGTTTTAAATTCTGTTAAGTGTAAAATATGAATAATATTTGGGGAGGGTTTTTGTTTTGTACTGGATCTTATTGAGTCATCATTCTGTTATTTCAAAGTCCAAGTCTTAACCGTGAAAACATTGAAATGAAGACCAGCTACATTCCCCGTCATACTGCAAACATCTCCTCACTTTGAAGAGCTTAAAACTCAAATTGGTTGAGAAGACAACAAAGTACCTCCAGACACTTGCTGTACACATTTTTCACTCTCACTGCTGTTTTTCAAACACGGCTGTGATCGCTGGAAGGATTTTCTCCCTAATTACAGGGTTGTAAATGAGGCCCTGACGCTACACTTGAATGACAGTAAAACAGCGGTTGCTACTGTATCTGTATGTTTGGCCTCATGTTGTCATTTGTTACAAGCTGAATTGCCATGTGGAATTAAAAAACAGAAATCCACATTAATTGGGATGATGCAATAGTTTCTTGGCTTAAAGGCAGAGCAGCAACTGCTCGACCTGGAGCATCCAAAGATATGATCATATGCAGAATCCTCTGACTTTATTGGGTATCATGTTTAACAGGACAGTCAGAAGTGTGTCTACTTCCCCATGCCAAGTGAAAACCCTGGGGTCTTCCCATAGCTGATGCTAACCATGATCTCCGCTCTGCGCCATTTAGTGAGATAGTTTTGAGCCTTACCGGATCTGTAGCCTTGCTTGTGAGTCAACTTGGCAACAACTGCAAGTCTTTTAAAGGACACGAGATGTGTCGGGGTGAGCCAGAATAACACATAGCTTTACAAGTTATACTTCAAAACACTAGACAGAAAAAAACCTGAGATGACCTGCTTTGTGTTGGATGATTTCAGATGACAGAAAGATGGAAGATCTGGGGAAAGAGAAAAAAATGTGGACCTGTTTGCATCCTTTACCTTGATATATTCCATGCAGTTAAGTGTTTAAGGAGTACAATGCCCTACACAGAACTCTTCTGATGAGGACACTTTTCCTTGAGGTCACTTCCTCCCTTTAGAGAAGGATTTATTTGCTCCCCTTTTTCCACAGGGTGTAAAAAACCCAATGGAGGAGACGCTGGTTTTTCTGAGTGTGTCAGGGATCTGAACTGTGCAATGACTTTTACATTGTCTACCAATAATGCCAACAATATTATTCTTCATTTAACGGGAAAAATCAGACGTTACAGTATGTCCTGATAACCACTTCACAAATTAAGGTAATAAAAACGTGAGGTGCTTTTGATTGCTGTCAGAGATTGAGACTTTAAATCACTTCAAGGAAAGTTTGGAGCACGTAGTTTGGTTTCGAAACAGAGTTTTTCAAGCTTTGTCTCAGTGAGCACCAATGAAATACAGGTTTTTATTTTATTTTTAAGCCAAATAAGTATTATTTTTTTCTTTCATCAAGGGTTGTGGCCTGATTTTGTGTATCTCTTCTCCCCTTCTGTAGGGCGATGGTATGTTCTCCAAGCCCATTAGAAGTGCTCAGTTTTATTACCTCGACAAATTTATTCTCCTGGCATCAGGACCCTCTCTGTTCCTGCACCTGTATAATGTGGACGTCACACGGGACGACATCAAAAGGTGAATACAAAAGACTTTTATCGCATGTGTGATTGATAGTGATGCATTGACCAGTTTAGTTGTTACACTGTGCTGTGTAAACTCAAGAAAGAACTATTGGCCCTTACTAATACTCCTCAGAAATAGTAGATACATGTTATTGTTAGGGAAGTAATCAGACAAAATATTAAACTCTGTTTCACAATGCAATGGCGTGCACTCAAACCTCAGAGTTGCACAGTAGCACCAGTCTTATTAGCCTCTGAGCAGAAACATTCACAGAAGGGGTCTGTGCCTCCCTCAGGAGAGAAACAGTATAGGAAGTTTATTTCAGATAGGTAACCAATCACATGACACTTTTCTATTGATAAATCTATTACAACAAAATTGCCAAACAGGTAAAAAGGGAAATAAACATCAAAGGATTGTTATTGTTCCTTTTTTTTTCAAACTTTACATGAGTTATGTCAGTAGTAGACTTTTTTCATTAAGCTAGCATTGTTACAGATATTACACCTTTAATTCAGACCCTCAGTGACAATCATCACAATCCAAACTGCTTTACTTTGTACTATCGAGACCACTTTTTGAAGGTCTCGTCTCAGAATCGAAAGCATTTTTACTCAGTCTTGTCTCGGTCTCAGACTGGGCGAACTCCAGATTTTAAATCCAGACCGGTCAAGACGACCACTGAAAGGATATTTTTCCAGGTCATTACTGTGATAAGCAGGAAAACACCTTTTTTAAAAAAAAGGGTTAGGGTAACTTCAGTTCATATGTAGTTTGATTTCTATCTAAGGGTCACAGCCGCAACCTTCCCAGTGTTACGGTCTAAGGGAGTAACACACTGATTCTTCAGTGATATTCATGGTCTTGGTCTCGGAGCACTCTGGTCCAGGTTATGTCTTGACTACAACACTCCTTTGTGCTATAAACCAGAGTTGGAAATTAGCTTTTTCACCTACCTGCCACTGCGACTAGTGGATTCAAAAATCTGCCAGTCACTCTCTTTTTTTGAGGATTCAATTTATGTTGTTTAATGTTTTAAATCACTCTGTCATTTAACTTTTATTTACCCGCCACCAAGGCTGGTAGGTTGAGTAAAATCACCCAACAAAGAAACACCCGTATTTGGCGGGTGACAGATCCTGATTTCAAACCGTGCTGTAAGCTGTAGGGGCTTGTTTTGGATTCCAGGAACATAAAGATTGAGCCTTCATACTGTCTCCTAGCATGTTGCTCTAATGATTTGTTAAAATGTTGATCATAAATGATCCTGTATTGGTCTCGAAAATGATGCAACATCTTCTCATCTCAGATACCATCAACGGAGCGCCGTCAAATTGACAGGAAGCTTTACAACAACAGGCAACCGACATCACTGCCATGTCTGCCATCAATGATTTCTACTCTCGTATCCTTTTTTCCTGTTGTAATATTTGTTGTTAAAGTTGGAGGGGCTTCAGTAAACTGCAATAAAGCTAAAAGGTGGGCAAACAATCTCTCAGGCATTTATGCTTTGAGCATCCTGTTGGACCTCTTCCATGAAAACCACAGCAATCAGTCTGTGCTACATAAAGACTTCAAATGTAGCTTCAGGGTTTCCACAGACGACTTAACCTGTAAACCATCAAGGTGTCTTTTAATTTTTCAGGAATGTCTGCATTCCAACCTGTTGTTTAGGGTTTACAGTGCATTTATCTTCCAATAAATCTCCTGAACTGAGCTGCTTTAGGATGAGTCTCCGTCAGGAGGCATACCGCACCAATGTGCTTTGAACTGGCAGACTGAAAAAAGGATACAATGCTTACAAGATAGTAGGTTTGAACGCTGTATTTCCGATTTTTAATCAGGATAAATGTGTTAAAACAGAATCAATTGTTTCAGGAAGCCCACTGACATTTTCTCAAAGCAGGAAACAGATATTCTTAAAAGATAAAATGCATAAGGAGACTCTCCGTCACTTTCATGAATATAAAAGAGAGAGGCGTTAAACATTCATAAAACAGTTTGCAAACTTGCAGACAACTTCTGACATTTTCAATACTTCTGCATCAGAGTATGAAAAGATGAATCAGGCTGAAAAAAGAAGACACTCTGCAAAATAAAGGAGAGTTGGAACTCTTATGAAAGGCATTGACCAAATATGTGAATTGTCTTTACTTTGAGAAGCTGCCCCTGTTTAAGAAAATGTTCTTTAAGATGAGAGTAAAACTTGAGTATCCCACACGTCATCTACAGCAGCCTATATTTTATATATTCCAAGCCTATAACTTTCCTTAAAAGCTGTCTCAGACATTGTTCTAGTGTGTGGTTTAGATCGCTCCATTCAAGTATTTGATATGAACAAGGGTACAGTTGCCTCAGAGCTGCCTGATGCCCACAGCAGAGTTGTCCACTACATTACACAGAACAAGGTAAGTTAAAGAGTACCATCTACTCTATGATATGTTTGTTACCGCCTCAGGTATCACATACAACATAGTACTGAATATAGGAGAGTATGCCATATAATACAGTTAATAACATCCCCTAAACGGCTTTAAATGTGACTATCAGAGCTGATTTTAGACTAAAACAAATGCTCTCCTCAGACACGCCTCCTTCATCCCTCAGCATTTAATGTTTCTGATTATTTCTACTTTTAAGATCGGACCGTTTAAATAGATTTAAAGAGAGAAAGAGATAAAAGGCAGTGTGTGTTGGCTTGAATTAAACAATGTAAGAAGCATTTAATAGGAAAACTGGGATCCATTAGGTTTAACTCAAACCTGTCTTTGACTCTTTGACTGATAAGAAAATAACTCAAGCGATGGTTTTTACCCATGTGCATCCAACAGTTACCTCACTTTAAACTACGTAAGTTTGCATTCCCTTTCAAATCATTTCAAATACTCATGGCCAAATCATTTTGTTTATCTGCCTTTTCTCATAATTATGAAAGCCTTCATCTGTAGTGTTCACTCCACAGTCAGAGTGACTTTTAAACCTCACCTACACAGCACAGAGTTTGCTTAGCTTGGCATGGGTTGGTAGTCAGAGCCCAGTCCTGCATCCTACTCTTGAAGGGTCTACTTATTGGCAGATGTTGTAGTGTTACTATGAGACTTTTCTGAGAGTTACCTAAGGTACAGATTGTCTTAAAGGGAATAGAAGGGTTATTTTGTGGTGTGAAGGAAGAAGGTCAAAATAAAAATGTCATGGTTACTGAAAAGTTTCCATGACAGACAGACGGGACCTGCCATCAGCAGTATCGTTCATCTTGCTGAGTGTTTGAATGTAAATCCCCGGTGCATCAGGATTAAGAGATGTCAAGAAGAGATTCCATGCTGGATGATGGCCTTGGAGTTAAGCTGTTCCATGATGCACTTTGGGTTTATGTGGCCTTACTCCCTCATCACTGTCTTGGACCAATGTGGGCCCAATTTGCTGGTGTCTAACAAGTAGACAGCTTGGGCTTGTTTCCATATCCATTATGGTGTTATGAAGTATCGAATAGTGCATCACTCAAAATGAAAACTATAAATACTGGTAGTAAATTCATGCATTGAAGCCTCAGTTTCCTGCAGAGTATCTACATTTCTGTAAAGCGATCACTTTTACAGAGAAATCAAGGGCCTGGTTTCTCTCAAGTCACATGAATGTTTGCCATCTTATTAACTGCAAATCTTATCTGCATGATTCTTATATAACTTATTGGAATACAGAGAAGTGTGTTTTTGTGCAAATGAGAGGTTTGCACCTAGTGACCCTGGGGTATTGACTTTACTCACTTCTACATGTTGACCTGTGCATACTTGACACTCAGGCCTGCCTGGATTAGCTGGACAACAGCAGCTAGTGGTGTGGATTAAATCCATTAACCCATTCAACTGCGAAGCACTCGTACACACAGCTGACTCTACTCCTCCGACCCGGAGTTGCCTGTTCTTTGTCACGCCAAGCTTTTGTGTGCCATACAACGTGGAAAGCCCGCCGAGTGTTGTTTCAGCTTGGCTGTTGCATCAATGTGGGGTCCTCAGTCTGGATACCCGAGGGCCTATTTGAAGGCCCGTAGGGTTAATACCAGTGGATCAGAGGGATTGCCCCTGCCTGAGGACTGCACACATAACATCCCTCTCCCCCGCTTCCCTTCCCTCCCCGTGCTTTCTCGTTCGGAGGCGCACAAAACATCAGGAACGGCAGCATGTGAAGCAGCTTCTCCCACTTCAAATTTCCATCCCCTCTTCTGCAAAGGTTCACCTGGAACTCATCAGAGCAGAGGACCTCTCGGAAAAATGGGACTGGAAATGCCCTCTCAGACTGCCGTTCTCACACTCTTAATGGAAACCTAAACAAAAAACACATACCCCCATCGCTCTCTCTCCCTCTCACACACACACTGCATCATCTGATAACTTGGTTTGAAAGTCATTAATAGATAAGTAGATGTGGAAAAATGACATATTTATAGCTGTAGCCTTACTGTGGTCTATCAGAGATGGAAAATTACACCCAAAAAATGTTATCCTAGTTTTGCTTCCATTCCAGTTTTCTTTCAAGACCTGATGTTTCAAGTCCAGAGTTTTTGTTAGAACTGCAGCTCTGTTTCAGCTCATCAGTTATTTTATTGTGCACTGTGTCTTTCCTTGATCTTTGCTGCTGTAACACTGTAAATTTCTCCGTTGTGGGATCTTATCTTGTGTTCTTCCTTTCTCTTTAATGTCATCTTTTACTTTTTAATACTAACAATGCAACCTCACTGAGACAATAATATGAAAACTATTTGTTGACTGAAGATGCACAGCAACTTTCCCAGTACCGGACGACAAAATTTACAACCCATTTCAGTCAAGCATGTGCTGACTAGTCATTTTTCTCTCTTTGTGTGTATTTCCCAGGGCTCCATGTTCAGCACACAAGCACCGGATTCATACAACCTCTTCCTGACCAACGCAGTCACAGATGGAATGAAGATTTGGGACCTCCGCACACTTAGGTTTGTATTTTTATAGTCTATACTGTTGAAATTGTAATAGATCCACCTTCTATGTGAAAATCAGGCCAGAAAACTGTAATGTCTGTATATTTATTTTAACTAAATGCTTCTGTACTGGTTCAGTTCTTCGGGCTTCCAAGAAGGAAAACACTCAAATCTTGAAGTTTAACAGTAGTGTCATTGTCTTATTGTATAGCAAAAACAGAAAAAAAGGAGCACACTCAACAATATAAAGTTTCAGGTGCACGACCACAACAACACTTAAAAAGAGACCGAACAGTCAGCACACTAAATTTCCTTCAAGTTTCCTGTCTCTGGGTAATAGCAGCGTAAAAAACAACAAAGGATGAGTTACAGCACTAGGCCTTCATAGCAGCTTATACCCAATACGTTTACTTTTTCTCACCATCACTGATTCCTTAAAAGCTGGGACGCTGTGTAGAACAGAAATACAATCAGGATGTGATTTTTTGCAAAAAAAAAAAAACAATCATGAAAACCAAATATTTGATTGAAAATAGAACAAAGACAACATATCAAATGTCAAAACTCAGAAAATTGGTTATTTTTGGAAAATGATATGCCCAATTTTAACTTGATGTGGAAAACATTGGGGTGATGGCAACAAAAGACTGGAAAAGTTGTGAAATGCTTAAAAAAATCACCTGACGAAACATCTCACAGTTAGTGAGGTCAGCTTGCGACACTTTAGTAACAGGATCGGGTACAGTATAAAGGATAAAAAGAGCGTTCAAGAGAGGCAGAGTGTATTTAAAGTAAAGATGAGGAGTTGACCACTCTATGAAAGATTGTGCAGGGAAATAGTGCAACACGTTATGCTTGTTATTTTTTACATAACATTGCAAAGAATTGGGGGATTTCATCATCTACATTGCATAATGTCACTCAAAGATTTAGAGAATCTGGAGAAATCTCTATGCAGGCGGACAAGGCCAAAAACCGATAATGGGTTGCTGTGATTTTTGGTTGCTGTGATTTTCGGTTGCTATGACGACCCTGCAATGTCTGTGAACACAGTCCATCGCTGTGATAATCATGTTAGCTGAAACCCCACCATGCAAGGAGGAAACAGTTTATAAACCAGATCCAGAAATGCCACCACCTTCTCTGGGCCTGTTGAAACCATTAAGAGTTAACATTCTTCTTCCTTAAGCTTTCCTAAGTTGTCACGCTGGCAAAGATTCATTGAATGTGTCAAAATATCCCCAGAGCCAAACTGTTTAAAGTCATTAAGTGAAATGATTATTGTATTTTCATTTCTCTGCTGTTGCTGTGGAGTGAAAATTACCTTATATACAAATGAGATTAAACTTTTTTCCTTAAAAAAAACATTCCTCAGGTGATGAGGGAATCGGCAATTGTTCAGTTTCCTAAGTCCGTATCTGACAGTATTATTTTTTGGCCCATTGAAGCAGGTATCCATATAAGGAAGCTAATTCAAGTAGGCCCTCTTGGATTTTAAAATGTTCTTTTTGGCCTGCTGGAAGGCATTATTGAATATTTTGTTCTGAGACATGTCTGAGACAGCTTCCATGTTTTCACTCCTCATCCCAGACTCTATCAAAACATCATAGCTATCTGATAAATATTTGTGCCTGGTTTCCAGGTCAAACTTTGGTTCAGAGAGCTGTCATCAGGCATCCCTTGGCAGACGCAGGTCCTGTGAGGTGAAACATATGGATCCTCGAAAACAAACGGAGGAGCACCTTCTCATTATGTCCTCCCTGTTCATTTGATTTCCCTCTTTGATAAACTTCACCTGCCAGTTCTTTAGCTCGTGATCACAAGAAGAGTTACAGTTCCAAAGTTAATATTTCTATGTTTTATGTGAGGCCTTCGGCTAATGGAAGTAGTTACGTCAATGTTGGATTTAACGACCAGCAGAATCTACTTATGATATGATAATGCAATATAAAAAATTCTTGGAAGAATTTGCGGCACGAGTAAAGCTTACATAAGATGCTCACAGGAGTTCTGCATTATTATCAGATAACTTTTTAAGGACTTGTCGAAAAACATCTGGAGAAAATGTCCTCCATCATGAATAACAGATATCACCTAATCACCTAGATATCAAACTAATAACAAATAAGGAGCTAAAACAAAATCATATTTTTGAGAGTCTGTAGTAACAGCTACTTAATCGACATATTTAAATTCAGCCCTTAATTCTGCTCCTCTTTCCTCATACGTCTTTTCCACTCTGGTAGCTGTTATTTGCAGTGATGATGGCTTGTATCTGGCTCAATAAACGCCATCAGCTCGCAGAAGCTTTCTCCTTTTCCTTCTCCAAATCTGAATGGGAGCATATCTCCAGTCACCATTTTGGTATAAGCAGGCTAATCTTCTCCGCTCTAGTATCATCACAACGACGTGTGCTAATAGGTATAACAAATGATGTGATGTGAGACTGCCTATTCTCGATCTTGGCCAAAAGGTAACTGGTGTTGAAAAATGAATCCAGTGAGGAAGTATAAAAACCTGCAGTTCATCAAGTGTCCACTTGAGGCTGGCTGCAGAAGCCCCGGAAGTTACATACACGGCAAATAAATAAAAAATCTCTTTATTGGCTCACTGTCGAGGTAAAACGTTTTTTAAACTCATCCGTTTTTTTGATTTGACATCATTGATCCTGTCTGTAACCGCTGACAATGAATAATGGTAAATGGATTTGAGCTTGTAAAGCCTTTTTCTACTCGTCTGACGACTCAAAGTGCAGCAAAAGTTACACCCAAGGTCACACCTACACATTCCCACACTGCCGCAGAAGCAGCGGGAGCAACTTGGGGTTTAAGTGACTTGCCAAGGGACACATGCAACGTGTAACTGCAGGAGCTTGGGATCGAACCCACTCTTCCACTGACCCACAGCCGCCCCCAGCATGTTACCCATGTTGATAATATATATGGTCACAGCCATCGTACGTCAGCAGGTAATGGAATAGTTTTCATGTCAGACACATGATTCCATTAGCAGAAGGACAAATTGGTTTAGAACAACATTATAGCTTAATTCAAACAAGAGAACTTCCAGAAATCCCTGAATAGGAAATATACATTTGACTCATTGGAAACTGCTGGAACTCAATCCTTATTACATTTTTCAGCACTTTCTGCCCCTTCCTTTTCAGACAGAAACACAAACATGCTTGATGGATATATATATCCATCAAGATAGATGGAATAAAGCTAATGCTTTTTGAAGGTTTGGTACAATATAATACTTTTTAAGCAATATAACCCAATTGAGTGGTTCCAGTTTTTGAAGCAGCCACCCTACATTGACCCTTTGTGTTCCAAATGATGGGTTTTAAGAGAGGAAGGTTCCTATATTAGGGAATCCTTTAGTGTAAAATCCAACCCACTCAGAAGCTGATACTAAAGATAGAAGGAACAGATGGTGGGCTGTTTCTCTTTAGTTCAGTGTTGGGTCCTCCTAAATTCAATCTTGCGATATAGTCATGCAGAGCGACACGTAACATACATAATATAGGGATTGAGTAATATCAAATAGAACAAGGAAAGACGCACTTTCACCTGATTTGCACTGACACAGTGAAACTAGGGGAAATATTTTGGCTACAGCTGTAAGCTATGATTAGCCTGCCGATGATTACCGCTGAATACCCAGGTGGATTCAGTAACAGTATAGGCTCCACTTTAAGAGGATCAGACCATCAAGCGCAGTCTGTGATTGTCATCAGGAAAATACCAGAGAGTCATCACTCACACAACACCGAGTGTGTGTGTGTGTGTGTGTGGGGGGGGGGATTCAGCAAGGCAGCTCCTCTGTCTCAGTTAAAACATTAGATTTATATTCTGACCTAGAAAATCAGATAAGTGTTGTTTATTCCAACTTGTTAACCTGCTTCTTATCAGTGTGATGGTGACAGCTTGTGTCAGCTCTGATGCCGGCCTGCATGTCCTGATTTACTGAAGGGGATTTTCAAAAAGATACACAAGTGTAATAGAGCTAAGTCGCTCTGACACAGACAATGCATCACCCTGTTCAGTTTAGCAATACTCAGAATGGAGCTAACCTGAACACATTTAGAAGTGATTCAATTGGTTCCAAACATTGTATTTTTTAGGTTTCAGTATCTTTCTACAAAAGGCTTTGCTTCAAAAGTCTTAACTCCTACAGTCAAGGTTCAGGGTTTTCTTGTGCTGCACTAGCTGTAAATCATGCAAAGTTTATTTTGTTCGCTCTTTTTCTTTAAAAATGGGTCAAATAGCATTTTAAAAACTCCAGCAAGACCCCTCTAGCAATGTGGTTTTTTCCTCTTTTGTAAAGTATGCCTTTTGGAAGCATTGTCAAGACCTTCAAGGTTTTTGGCTGAACCTGTTGAGTCAAATTATCAAAGGCATCCAATGAGAAAGTTCTTCTTGTTAAGGGTTGCATGCAAAAAAACCTCAATTTGCCCTAAATGTGAATCACAATGCCCCAGTATAAACTTTATAATGTTTGTATTCAGTGCTTAGCAATTGCATTAACCTGCTGACTGGTACTGGGGGAAAAAATCTGATTTTTATGGTCACCGGTGAATGTGACCTACTTTAAGACCAGCTTAATGACATTAACATGTGAATAAAAAAAGGAAGCTGTCTGAGCCCTGCCCTGCCAACATGCCAGCCCGTAGAGAGACCCTCGCTAAGCTAGCTGTGAGTGGCATTGTAAAGACATTACATGCTGTTGCAAAGCATGACAAACGGCTTTGAGTTGCACGAGGGGGCCATTCGTGTCTTGTCTTGAGGCATTTTCAGCTTCTTGTCTTTAGCTGGTTCAAATGTTAATAAAACGTAAAGCTTGCAGGATGGCCCACTGCTCCTTGGTTATTCCTGCTGAAATTCTGTGCAATAATAGGCTTTGCATGTTCATTACACAGATCACTTCAACCAAAAAAGACTGCAGTCACTACTATAAACTATTATTTATGCCCATACCAAAGACTTCCCACATTCTAAAGTGCTCTTTAGGTCAGTGGTTCTCAGCTGGTCTAGCCTCAGGACCCACCACCAACTCCTTAATGATAAACTGTGACCCAAATTTCTGATATTTTTCAACCAATTATTATTTATTTAAAAAAAGTGGAGGTTTGGACCTATACGGTACAAACCATGACCGAACACAAATACATAATAAAACAAGCATGTTTTAAAAGCTCTTTTTTTATACTTGCACAAATTTGCGACCCACTTTTGAATCCCTGTTGAGTATCACTGGTTTAGATGACAGTAGAGTATCATTTTCAGGGAGATTATCTTAAATACATGATGGGTACTCTTAGAGATGGCGATATGGGAAAAATAGCATATCACAATTTTTTTTTGGCAAAATCATGATCACAATTTTATCACGATTTATTTTCATAGTGATCTTAAGACTAATTTGCAAGTTACTGACCAGTTCAACCAAACTTATTTCCCTGTATAATGTTTTTATATGCACAAAAATTGCTGACAAGTTTAGTCTATTTGAAAAAACTCTTTATAGGAGGTCTGGGGTCTTCATAGAGGGGGCGGGACATCGTTGATTGACAGACAGACAGTCACCATGGTTACTCACTCTCACCTGTCTGCTGCACACAAAGTGTAACGTCGTTTAGTGTAATCCCTATAAATTCGGTAATCACAACAGGTGAGCTTCGGGTGGAGAAGCTTAATAAGTAACTTTTTAAAAATGAGAGAGAGCAGAAAACACCGACAGCAACATTTGAAACACCGGGGTTATATCTCCCCTCACTGTCTGTCTGAGCTCCGCTCTGTCTGACTCTCTACAGACTGTTAACATCTCTCCGGCTTGTTGAACGGTTTCTTGAGTCGCTATCCAAGATGTAAACTTAACTGTGCAAACTATGCAGATAAGTTAACTGTTGCTCACGGCGTGTCGGTTTGGAAAAATATCCGAACAGTTGCATATAACTGGGTTGGAGTTCTTTTTGCGGACTACTCTTAAGTTTTGTTTTCGTTTTCACCACGGCGGAGCAGAAGGGGAGGGGGAGACGCGTCTGTGTAGGAGCATAAACTGATATGATAGAATAAACACATTAGCCCGGTTCTACAATCTCCCTGCTTTGGCAGATCGTCAGCACATTAAAATCCTCCACGATCTAAGATCGTTATATCGCCCACCACTAGGTGCTCTTATTGCTGTTGTGATTAGCGACAGTTGCACAAGGACTCAGAAAACCAAGATTCTAATCCTTGGGTTTTGAGTCTCATCTTCAAAACAGTTTGGGTTAAGTTTATAAACTAAATTAATTCTTACAACCGTTTCCTTCTTCAGGTGTGTGCGCCGCTATGAGAACCATCTAAATCGCTGCCATCCATGCTCTTCAGCCATCTCTCCGTGTGGTCGGTTCATTGCCACAGGCTCTGAGGATAACTGTGTAAGCTGCAACACTCTCCTTTACTGAGCCATCTCTTTATTTCATTCCACTTTTATAGTCTTTTTTTGTCATTTTATCTCCCACTCCTGGTTGGTGCATAGAGACAAGACACACAAATAATATTCAAATCAACATTGAATCTGTTTATGTGTAGAGCAATGACGTGACCGAAACAGCACACACACACACACACACACACACACACACACACACACACACACACACACTAAAGGCGTTTCACTTCACTATGTTTTTCTCTTCTTTGCCGCTAGGTCCACATCCGTCATATTTTCAGGTTTGAATAGCGTCCAATCACTGATTTGTACCAACTCCTAAACTCACCTGTGAGCTGTAGTTGGCTAGGCTACGCACCAGCTCCCCCACCCAGTAACGTCCAGTGTCAACTAAAAACAAAAATCAAAATCCAGGCAGAGAACGGGGTCTGCACACAGTGTCACCACCACACATGTATGGAGGACCATAAGTGATTGAGCGGCACAAGTCCTTTTTTTTATGACTCGATCTTTAACACAGTAAATTATTATTTATGTATTTCTGAAACTTGTAAAAAAAATTGAAAAGCAGGAAAGAACATCAAGATATCTTTATCATCTTCACCTTCCTTTAAGGTGAAGCCTGCGTGTGCTTGACTCAGAGATTTTAGTTTGGACCGAAGCCTTTTTCCATAGAGGTAAAATTCAACATTCATGTCGAAGCAAACTATTTAATAGCTTTTCCAGATTGTGCCGTATACTCGCATTCAAGACAATTTCATAAGACTGCCTCCCTTTTCCGTATCCATCTCTCTTTCCTCCTGGTGTACGTGCTTGTTGAAAGCAGTGGAATAATATATGCACGCTGCTGGGTATTATTAATTATGGGGACTCAGCTCAGTACAGACATCTGAGAGCATCTCTGTCGAGATCCGACGTTTCCAGCTTTTCTTGGAAATTGGGAAACGCGCATGGTAGTGAACTGCACCGTATTTATTTGTAGCTGCCCTGAGACTTCTTTAAGCCAGACACATTTGTACTTGTCTTAATATATCAAAAAGCAATCATGGAAAAAAAAGGAGCTGAATTCCCTAAAAAGACTCCCTAGATCATATTACAGATTTTCCAATAAACAGAAAGCCAAAAGCTATCTGAGTGGAATATGATTTCAGTGTGGGCGATATTAACCTGTTGTATGTTCCCCTTGAAATGTGCATTCTTTCACCCTGTTTTGATTTCCCTTTCTGATCTGACAGTAAATAGATTATTTAAAACAAAGCAGAGATTACGTTTTTATCCCCCATGCTCTATATCCCCCGCTCTGTCCTGCAATCACTGTTTATACAAACCAAGTCATCAAAGGATTTATCTGATATTCAGGCATTCCTGAAAGAATTTTAATCTTCCAAGTATCAAATGCCCTGTTAGGCACCACACACGTCATTTGCCCCAGGCAGGAGACACTCTACCAACAGACTGTTTGACAGAGCTCAGTGAGGAGTTTTTCTTTGGGAAATATAATACGGACCAGCTGCAGGAATCTGATGAGTCGTCGTCTACAATCAACCATCACCACATCTGTTTAAACCTGCCCTCATGGCTCGTTACACAATAATCATACAAACTGCATTCAGAACAAATACCTGGTTAACAAGATATTAACTCATTATCTACAGTTATATCTTCATTTTATTTTGTAAACCAAAATCAAAGTGTACAGGTCCACAACAACTTAACTTGTGATCCCAAATATAAGTCACACTGGTATATATGACGCAGTCCCTTTTTGGGTCTCTCCCAGAGAGGGAAGACAATTTTAACTGTCTTCCTGCATGAAGATTTCCACTGTGCTCAGCAAAGTCCAAAATGTGCAGCTGTGCAGCTCTTTGTAGTATCATCTTTTTTAACCATGAAGAGTTTGTAATCCTGCTAGCGATCAGTATGGTAGTCGAGGCTTACAGTAATGTTGATAGTTGTGAAGTATGCCTAGAGTCACACTTCCATCTTCTCTGGTTGTTGTTGGTTTTTCCTTTATTTAGATAGGACAGTTGATAAAGTAGGAAATGGGGGGGGGGGGGGGGGAGAGAGAGAGGAATGACATGCAGAGCCACAGGTTGGACTTGAACCCATGCCGCCCACTTGAAGTATCAGTGCCTCCTGACATGGGGTGCAACCTAACCAACAGGCCATCAGCCTGGTTTTTAACTGAGGAGTTTTTTTTTAAATCAAACCAGCAACCTGCGAAGTTAATTTACTTAATAGCATACGGTCATTTTGTTTTGGTGCAGGATCTAATGAGGGACAACAGGTGTCTAAAAGTGGTGCAACCAGCCTGGTCCATGGTGCTAGATATCCCTGCACGCTTTGCCCAGCGAAGCAGCTGCTTACATTACACAATGAACGGGGGCACATTTTCTAAAGCTTCAGGTTGCGTGCAGTGGGAGATGGTGACGGTGGTTGCTGCGTGACTGCACTCATGACAGCACATATCTGTCGTCACAAGAATAATAATAAACACTGTTGCTTACCCAACAAGTTGAATATTTGTTTCACAGACTTCAAAGTTCAATATATCCATCTGGAGGTCCAGATGGATGGAATAGGTGATTCTTGCAAATAATTTCATGTATCTGATTTCTGATGTCACCTGGAGGGAAGTGTTTATTTGGAGGATAGCAGGTAGAGTGGCAGGGAATTTAAAAGGATTGTCAAACATAACATTGTCGGTCCTGTTCACACATTTCGACGGGTAGAATTTACTGTCATTCTGGATAAACATAAAATATTTAAAAGCCTTTGTATACACAGGTAGAATACATCCCCACCCGGTGTGTTTACCAGGACATGTGCAACACTTTGTGCCATTAAGAGTACTTTCAAAACAACAGTTTTGTCACATTTGACACAGGTTCTGGTGTATAGGTGACACATAATCCAAGACATATGGGACAAAAAAAACACATTAACATCTGTTTTGATTGAATAATAACTTTAAACAGGATGAGCACAAAGCATGACCTAAAAAGTTGGAATCCCTGAAGCAAATCTGCATTTGTTTTGTCTCTGCACGTGTCTTTTCATTCACTTTGTATGCTGCCATAAAACATTTGACTTGTGTGTCTCATTCAGTCTAAACACTTATATCGTTTGTGTATGAAACACGTTCAATGACCTCAACTAAATGGATCGACTAAATGTATTTGTATACAGTAGTGTAATTTGTCCTCCATGGTGAAAGTTCAAGCCTTCTTTCATATCCAGTGTTTCATCTCATTTATTTCAGGCTTATGTGTATGACATTCGCAGCAGCAGCTTCCTTCACAAACTTCAGAGACACTCAGACACGGTGCTCAGTGTGACTTTCAATCCAGCTACACCTGAGGTAAGAGCTGAACTTTACTTTTTATCTTTCAACTTTTTTGTCTTCTTGGGGGGGTATGAGAAAAATATCTTACTATGATTTTTTCCCCTGCAGGATCTTTAACATAATTTTATCACAACTCTTTGTCATGTTGATTTTTAAGACTATATTTACAAAACAAGCTAGTGTCGCTATTTAAACAAAAAAAGTCCTAAAAGATAAAAGACTAACAGACCATGCCTCTAATTTTTTAATTTAGATTCATCATTGTCTGAGAGTGCAGAATGGCATCTGCAGCAAACAGCTGCACAAAACAATTAAAACAACAGCATTAGAATTGCACACGCTGACTGCGGTGTGGTTGATCTCCTCTCCGTTTGACTTTAAGCACACTATTTGAGATGAAGTCTCCTGAGCTAGTTAACACAGTTTGTTGTGTTGCCAGCCAACGTGCACATTTATACTAATAACCATTGTTTGCCTCTTATCGATTTTCTTTAGGGACAAACCTTCAGTCTTGTTTTCATATTTAGCATGGTGCCCCCCTTTGTTGTTAATCAAAAGGGAGGGGAATAAGAGATCCCTAGGCCGTTCCTACAGTTAATTATGATTGTTGATCTGTGTGTCTGTAGGGAAGGCATGCAACGTTTGAGCAACTAGTGTGATTTTGCTGAGAAAGAAAAATTATGATGTGTCTTTTTGTGAGCATAGAACATAAATCAAATGTGTACTGCAGACCGATTCTACAATCTCCCTTCATTGGTGGATTGTCAACCAATCTAATCCTTCACAATCACAATCTAATATTGTCCTATCACACACTCCCACATCATCTCAAATAAATATCAGCATATTTCTCCACATCCCAGAAAGTTACTAACCAGGGTAAACATTATTTTTAGTATTCAGTTAATGTCTGACTTTCTCTTTTTGACACAAGACATCATACACCCAAAGACAAACCAGAGATTGTCTTTACCTCCCAGATGTTGACCTTTGTTAACTCTGCAGAAACACCCCATGGGGACATAAATACAGGCAACGGTGTTAATATGTGTTTACAATCTGCTCCAACCCCTGATTCTGCACACACACCAAAGGCATAATATCTGCACACAAAGCCTTTTAGTGCAGGAAAAGGAAAAGTCTCTCAACCTTAATTGTCCTAATGGTAATTTGGATAATTTAAACAAAAACAGACCATCATACGAAAAGGTGAAAGATTGATCACCTTCACACCTTAGCAAGGACAGCACTTAAAATGCATTTTGTCCGAATTCTGTTCTTTGTCTGAAGCATCTCAGACAGGTATGACACAAGAAATGTTTAAAAAACAAGAGATGACTGAGGAGCAGTGTCAGTCAGAGGTCAGGCATCAGCGGCCAAAGACTTTGCTTCACGTCTAAAGTCATGAACTGTTTCACACGGGAACTCCTTCAGATTTTGTAAACAGTTCAGGACAAGGAGGTAGTTATACGCACATCACGTAGGTGCAGGGCAGTGCAAAAACAGCAGACTGAAGAAGGAGATATTCCTGCACACTTCTTTTCCTCAAAGAGTTCAGGGCTGCCTGCCACTGAAATCTTCCCGAGTTGCTTATTCACAGATGTCCCTCACAGTGTGAAATATTCCCTGTTGGGGGGACGGGGGTCTCACTCAGGAGGCAAGACGTGACAAAAATCCAAGATGGTGGATTATGCAGTCAGACATAATAAACAGTTTTCTGCCTTCATACCACTTTGATTGGGCATGTTTACAGTATCAACAAAGAAGTGGAAAAGAAAATTCAGATGAGCAGGAGACATAATGAAGCAGCGTCAGTGTGCATGTCACACACCTGTTGCGTTATATAAATGACATCACCTCTGCTGTGTTAAAAACCGTATTAGTGTTGGGGCTAAAAATGATGTGTATGTATCTGAGCAGATGTTAAATAATTGTGTTTTTTGTTTTTATAAATATTTAGTAGTCAGTCATTTACACAAGTCTGCACCATTTCTACTTGCTCTTCACTCAAAGGCTGAGGTCACATAGCAGGGCTTATTGAGATCATCCTGAAGTTTAGGACGGGTGGACTGTCAGCCAGTGACCTCACAGAACGTCAACGAGAAGCCATGAAAGGATTCCATGTAACGATTGAGTGTGTGTGGTATGAAAAGCATCTGTATTGTCCTTGAGCAGTAATGCTTCATACAGATGTGTATTCACTTCATACAAAACATCATGTGTAGTTTATGTGTTGGTGAATACATCAGTCCTTAAAAACCCAAACAACAAACTTTTTTTTTCTCTAAATGTAAACCTCCTGGTCCAATAACATTTTCATATTTTAGGAAAATCCCCCAAATAACTCTGTGGGTTTAACCAGTGGTGGCCAGTTAGTAGTCCAATCAGATAATGTTTCCTGTTCTTCCGTGCCATAACCCTGTGGGATCCAGTGACTCCCTTTGTGCACTGTACTGATCCACTTATATGACTGGCTGCCCTGCAGGGTTGTTCCAGCCTGTGATTTGGTGCAAAGTTCCACTCTGGACAAAAGATGTATACATGGTTGTGCTTGTTCAGTTCAGTAGCTTTAGTCCAACCCCTTCTTTGACTGTTTCCCTTTTTTTTTTTTTACTTAGTCCTGTGCAGTTTAATGATATGCCATTTTGTTCCTCTCCCTCTAAAGGGTAAGAACTAAGACATACATATATTTTGTATAATGTGTGACAAAGGTCAAAATGCTGTGGATGCTATGATTGGTTGCTGTGATTTCTTGATTTCAGGTTTGTCCTCAAAGAGATTTCAAAGCCGACTTGGTCTGCTCTCAATCTAACCTCTAAGATATTCATAGAAATTCGGAAAGCTGTCAAAAGAAAAACCAAAAAGCTAATCTTAACTCAGTACAAATATTTGATGCATTTTAAATTGCCATTACAGAATGCATTTTGCATAATAGTCCAAGTTAGAGGTGGAAAATAGCAATGCTAACCTGTAATCCATCTGTTATTGCTGATTTAACATATTAATTGGCATATACAACTCACATTGAATACCTATTTTTTTTTTCTAAAAAGTGGACTGCATCCTCTATACAGGTGCAACCAATATGTCAGTATAAAGTGCTAAGACATGACTGCTAATAGAGCCGCCACCATCACCCCACGCAAGCAACCTCATGTGACTGAAATTTTGCCCCTATTCATTTTATATTACATAACGAGCTAGCGGACTAGGATAGGAGGGCACCACTTTTAGCAGCTTTTCCCCCTCAGTATGTCAATAATCCTCCACTTAAAGAAAACAGCAGTATACTGAATTTATTTAAATAGAGAGTACAACTACAGTATAATAAGATTGTAACAGGAGGAGCTACCCAGCTGCAGACAAACTGCACATAGGAGACTTCTGTGCATGCAATGGTTAATTGTCATGCAGGAAAACATTTAAACCTTTTTTCCATCTCGTAGAGTCCCAAAAACAGAATGGGACTTGTATACCGGTGCAACTCATATTCCAGATTGTACGGTAGTTTTGTGATGTATTCCCTCCAGTCCGAGTCCATTCTTGTGTCTCAGTTGGTAGTGAGGCAGTAAGCGATGACAAGCGCAGATAAAGGGAAGGCTTGGCCCGTTTCCTTTACTGCCTTTCCCAATAACAGCTTGCTACAACAAACTCAGAGAGATTATGCTTCGCTCCCATAAGACTGTACCGCCATCATACGATAGCCAACGGCTTAAGAGATTGCATTGAATCCTCGCATTGACTTTCAATGTCTGGTAACAAAATCTCCAAAGTATTTACAAAGCTAAAACTCCCTCTGGAAATGTTTTACTGTCCAGTTAAAGATTTTCCTTTGGAACTGTTCAAAGCAAGTGGGCCAACATTTGCAAGAGAAACATTTTACAATACGATATCACATCCTCTGCTGGACGTCTCATAAGACTTCTTGTTGACTGTCTTTTGGACCGAAGGCATGTTTTAAATCTACTTGTCCATCTGTGTAACTCCATTCAGTTAAAACTTTGCAGCCCACGAAGCCTTCACATTTCCGAGTCTGAAAGTGGAAAGTTTGGTCCATGGCCATTTACTGACTGGATAACAGTAATCTGCAGAGTTTAAAGACACACTTCATCAGTCAGAGCATGCTCGCTCCACAGCAGAACTTCTCCAAATACTACATTGTTTGACAGGATATACTGGCACTGTTGACAGAGCCTTTACTGTTTTTTGCCAACATGGTTACAGGCAAAAAAAATCTATTATAAATCTTTGATAAATTAAGATGCACACCTGAGAGCACACCAGAGATACATACACACCATGAGAAATTGTTTCCATGGAAATCTGACCATATTTCTTCTATAATGTTCAAATGTGTGAAAATAATCAAAACCTTTGATTTTCAATGTCATATCAGGTTGTATCAATCTGCTCTACATTAACAAGTCATCTCATATTGGCTGTCACTTGTATCCGTGTCATTAAACATCTCATTCTACGAGAACCTGCCAAGATTTGACCAGATTGAAGTCGTAAAAGTCGCAAATGTATGACATGTTTGAAGGGCTCCAGAGGGTCTGTAGCTCAATAAGGAGCCAAAAGTCTTTCCATGTAAAATCAGTACGTTCCATGAGCACATTCTTTATCAAAGTAAGCAAAGAGTGAGATGTTCTTAGCACAGATTTATGGTATATTTACTTAGTGAAAGATGTAAAAAAAAAACAAAAAAACCCAGATTTTCAATGGCACCGGAGCCTTCTGGGAGACTAGAGCAGACATTATAACTCAATATCATTAATATTCATTGATGTTTTCTTTGGTCCATTTAAATGTAGTTCTAAGCATCAAAATAACTTCATGACAAGAAACGTTCTTTTCAGACGAAACAATAACCAGCCATTCTATTTTGGATTTATTCAAACATCTGCTCCAGTGTTTTTGTTAAGCATGTCTTACCAGCACTACTGGAGACAGTCTGTGTTCCCTACTGCACAGATTATTGCTTTCTTCCCACCTGAATGGACAGAATTTCTCGA